ACTAATATACTCCTGTTATTTGCATGTCAAAAACTATAGTGCTATGGCATCACATTTAGAATTATAGTCACAAGAAGATTATTCTACACCATTACTTAGTTAAACTGACCCTATTTGGTGGACATCTACTCTTAAAATTACTACTTGGATTTTAAAAAATCAACTTTTGGGGCTGGGAATTTAGCTCAGTGGTTTCTGTGCCTGCCTTGCCAGCACAAAGTCCCGAGTTTGATCCCTGGTACCAAAAAAAAAAACCCAAATGAAACAATCAACTTTTTATTTTTTAGAGTCCATGAAGTGAGAAGTAGTTAAATAAATCCAATTTATCTTCAAGCATCCAAGAAAAGAAAAAATACAGGAGAAAAAGTTTGGGATATAGAGGAAACTGGGCCATTTGAAAAAAGATAAGAACTGATATTATATCACTTTAGAAATAATTACCTAAAAAGAGATATTTAAGCACTAATATATTAAGATTTTTGAGATGGTGCATGGTTCAGTTAAGATGGAGGAAATGATTAAATTATATCATTACCTCATTTTCAGGGGGATCATTGCACAAATGTAATTATTTAGAAGGATTTTTAAATCTTTAGTTATAATGTATAATTGAGATTGAAATATGATAAAAAGAATAAATGTAAAATATTTGTCAGGCAATATTTACTTCATACTGTAAATGTATTTCTAATGGAAAGAAAAAGATGAGTTTCCACTTAAGTATCTTACATCAACTTATGAAGATTTTATTCAGTAAAATGAATATAAATTTTATTACTCTATGTAGATATGGAGGTTGGAGTTTTGGTCTGCCTCTGACTAACGACCTTCGTTTTGATGTGACAGCAGTTCCTGCCAATAGAACACTTGCCAAGGTAAATTATGGTGTTTCATCTGGGATGTCATACAAATAAGAATGTGAAATTGAGACAATTAAGCATTTTCATAAGGATAAAGGCTTAATGTATACATTCAGTTTAGTATTTTGCAACTATAGTGCTGTTGTTCTAATCCTGCATATATACCCTAGGCTAGGGAAGTATAGATACATAAGCACCAGGAGATGTGTGCAAAGTATAGGTAGTAGCATTTCTTATTCTAGCCAGAAAATACTACCCCAAATGTCCATATGCTATAGAATAAAGAATAAATTGTTTCATATTCATTGAATAGTATTTTCAGCAATAGAAATGAAAGCACTTGGCTCCATATAGCAAGCAAGCTAAGTCTCCTAATCATTAAACATAAGCAGAAGAAAAGACAAAAGGTATTGCATGAGCTCATTACCTTTACTATAAATTTTTACAGTAGGCAAAATTCAGGGACAGGGAGATTAATATGACCTGGAAGGACAAAGGGCATCAGGGAGAAGTTACGGACATGGTTAATTTTTATTTTTCTACCTGTGTGATGGTTTAATTTGTGTGCTCCCTCTATGATTTTTGTTACACTCTACATTTATGTTCTATGGATTTTTCTTTTTGTGTGTAACTATTTAGAAAATGGAAACGTGTTTGTTCAGCCTTGCTTCTTACTGAACCTGGAAACTTAACTGAATTTGATGAAGATAAATTAACCTGTTGGCTTTTTTCCTTCTACATTATATTTATGCTCTAAAACCATCTAAAGCCACTGAATCAGATACATATGATTACCCATGTGATCAATGGCAGCCATAGGGATTTTGAATTCTCTTTCATATATTTTACATTTGGTAACAGGAAACACAGATAGCTTTGGAGGAAGTGAGGAAACTAATAATAATTTGATAACTTTTATGCCAGGCACTAGTATCAACTTTTATATAAACTACCTAGTTTCCTCCTCATAACATCCCATATAATATATATTATTGGATCTGTTATAGCAGATTTTCACAAGATCATGTGGAAAATAGGAATTTAAATGTTCCCCTCTCCTTTCTTCTTTCAATGAATGTGAAACAATTTATTTCGTTATTCTATTGCATATGGACATCTGGGCTAGGAATTCTAATGTTTCCTTTCCTTCTCTTCTTTCTGCCCACAGAGTAAATACTCTTGCACAAACAAGAGAGTTTTTAAGATAAAATAATGTCTCTCTGAATCGCATTTGCAATTTTGAATTATCACTTGAGTTTGAATGGAAGCACACCAGTATTTTAACCCTTTGTTTTTGATATAGAGGGAAAGTTAATGGAGGGGTTTTCAGTGTTACCAGTTTTGTTGCTAAGGACCAGTGCTCGCTTATGGATTTTATTTTTTCTCAACTCTGGTCTATAAGCCATTTGTTTTATTACTAGTATGAGAGTTAGAATCCCTTAATTCTAGTCTTAGAATCACCATAGATCACTCTACAGAGATGGAGATGATAATGATTTCCCTGGTTATTTTAAGTTTTGCTATCAAAAAATCTAGAATAACTAATAACTTCATGCTGTCACTCAGAATGACTGTCACCTCACCGTCTGCCCATCTTTAAGTTGAAAATGTATGGATCTATGAGCAGCACTCTGGGGAATAGTTCATAATCTTCTAAGATCAAATAACTTACTGGGAAATTGGTACCCTCACTTTAAATATAAATAAGGTAGACTTTCACATGTGAAGACAGCTTAACTTATTTGAACACCACACTGATCTTGCCTTTTTTCGGAATTTAACAGGTGTGGTATGACCCTGAAGGCTATCACTCTCTTCCAGCTTACCTCAACAGCCTGAATAATTTCCTCCTGCGAGTTAACATGTCAAAGGTTGATGCCGCCAAGCATGGTAAAGTTGTTCACACAGAGGCATCTTGTATTGCAAAACTTTCATTACTGTCTATACAAAAATACATGTTACATCTATTTTTCCCAGTAGCAAATATTTTATACCTCTAAATTACAGGTATTTAAAAGCAATTTGGAAGTAGTAACTCCTGCCAGATAGAACATTCTGGATAATCCTTTTAACTTCAGTTTAATTTATTTTTCTCATATATCAAGTTTGAATAATAATACCAACTTCATGTGTATGTATATGTGGTTATATCTCAAAGGAAAATATTTCAAAACTACTTCTATAAGCAAAAATTTAATCAATGTTTATAAATATTGTTCACAAATATTAACATGAAGACAAACCTTTGAAACTAATATCCTCTACCCTTGAACAAAGGTGTTAGCATTTATTGAGCACTTACTCTGTGACACGTTTTATAGGAAATATCATCCATCCTTGACAACACCCTTCAAGATGAGTACTAGTGTCCCCATTATTATTTCTCTGAGGTGCAAAAATGGGATTTGACCCCCAGAGCTGTCTTAATTCCTCCCTTTTTATTTTTTCTAATACTCTTAACTGGTTTTCTGGACCCAGTCAGGTCTACTTCAGTTGGTTTCCCAAAAGGCATTCACATAGTTTAAAAATAAGGTTGGAATTTAAAAGAAATTGATTTATTTTTCTAATTCAATTACTGTTCATCAGACCATATCATCTTCTTGAGCCTTGTTCAAATTAGTTTTCCAGAAAAATCCAAAACATAACAATAATAAAAAGATAGAAAAACACATTTGCTGGCCAAGATTGAACCTAATAAATAGCCTATTAAGCAGGGAGGGAAAAGGACACAAACTACCTTTTAGAAATGCCAATGCCTCCTTTCTTTCATCTCCCTCCTGTTAGGCAGAATAGTGGCCGCTAGATGTACTGTGATTGTAGAAGCAAACTGTGGCATCAAATACTCATCCTAGACACAGAATCTTCAGGAGACTTCTTTTCAGAAAAAAAACAGTATTTTTTCCCCCAACTGCTTTGGCATTTTCCTAGCAGGAAGTACCATAGAGAAAATAACAAGATTGATAGCCTTTGCATCTCGAGCATCAATAAAGCACATAATCAAAGTAGTAAATTAAATGAAATGGTGACTAAAACCAGGTGGGTCTGGCATAGCCTGAGTAGAAATACTATGGAAAGCTTGACTTTCAGTAGGATGTTTTATTCAGAGCAAAAGCCATGTATTGTTGTGACAGATAATAAAAGTATCACAATTATAGAAATAACTAGAAGAAAATGTAGCAAAGATGCAGAGAACAAGATGATGATACCACATTTGAATGGTCAGCTTTTCAAAACCTATATTTTTGTTTGCTTTATAATCAGTATTCTTTACCAAGATCAAGACCATCTGAGCCACTGTAGACTCTAGCAGGGTTGTTGTAGTGACTCCTATTGCATTTTACATTACAGAGTATAAAAATAATTCTACAACATAAACTTTATACTGACCCTGAAATTTATTTTTTAATTTAAAAATAAGGCTCAGCTTGAGTTATATAGAGATTACCAGAGGTATGCCTTCAGTGCCCTATTAATTTTTCTTATTTAGACTTACCAAAGTGATAGCTTTCTACCCTCCCTGAAGGAGTTTATTTTAAAGATGAAATCTGTATCCTTCTAAAATACTTCTATTGTTTCATAATGCATGAATGGGGTATATAATAGTGATAGTACTTGTCTTTAAAAATCAGCCCAATTATTCTCCCACCACATACTCCAACACACTGCTTGTTTGAAAGCCTCTTTGTTAGATTCTTCATGAACTAGGGTTTTAATTTAGCAGTAAAGTTGATTTCTTTTTAATTTTAACATGCTAGTAAAAATATTTTAATTAGCTTTTCTTCGCAATGTCAATATCTATTATATTCAAGTGGTTCCCTCTAGTGGTTGATTTCACATTAAAGTTACGCTTTTTCTTCCAGAAAATACTAGTTTGCTGGTTTTCCCTAACAAATATTATACAACTAAACTCTTTTTTTCAAAAAACACTAACACATTGTTCATTCCACTCCAGTGCTTAGTGTTACCCTTTGTTGCATTAGCAGTAATGGTCAATAGAATGCATCTCATTTTAGCTTTGCATCTGTAGAGACAACAGAAAATGTCTTCTTTTAACATATATTGTATGTGGAGAAAATATTAGTTGAAATTTTAAGATTTGACTTGATTTAATAGCCATTCATTGACCACGTCAAAATAAGACATTCAGTTGGTGTTGTCGTAGAACCTACAGAGATGATTATGATATAGGATCCTGCTTCAGATACACCTATTTGATCTTGACATTAAAGATATGTATTAAAAAAAACTGGTGTTATAGGATCTTGCATAGTGAACAGAAATGTATTTTCAAAGATTCCTCTGGTGAAGTAGAGTAGTCCTTGATTTTGAAACCCAAAATGAAATAAAAGACAGGTTTTCCCCTGGCTATATTATAATTTAATAGGGGTTAAGTGGGCCTCATGGAAAATAGAACCTAAGTTTTAAAAGGCCCATTAATTTATAAAAAATATAAGTAAAGTACATTCCCCAATGAAATGATTAAAATTATAGGTCAAGTTTTTTTCTTTAACATACAACTGTTGCAGAATTCAATCTCAGAATATGTCATATTATTCTTACTAAAAATTATAAATTTAACTTAATGGAGATAATATGCATTTAGAATTCTCTATAATATTTGGGTACAGTGCTTAAGTGCCCTTATATTATGAGCATATACTTTACAAGCAATAAGAAAGTTCTTACTCAGTTCATGACTCTAAAGGAACAAGTGTTTAAGAATATCCTCACTTCCATCTACCATTCTTTCCCATGACTAGCATCATGTTGTACCTTTGGGGAAGTATTGTCCTCCCACTTTGACTTTTGTTGACTAAGGTCTTCTATGGGAGGAGAGAAAATAGCCTTGATTCTAACTCAGGCAGTATAACCAACCCTGGAAGAGTCCAATGACTTGGAATTGTATTGGAATTAAATGGCTGCTTTTCTGAAATGAACTGGTATATCTGAATCCTTCTCGACCTTTATGTCTCAATAGAAATGGCTGGCTGAAGATTCCAAGTCCCCTTCTGGTACAGCTGTAGAGCAATAGAGAACTTAAAGTAGTAAAGAGAGAGGAAGGGGTCCTCTCAGACTACAGTATTCCCTTACTATACCCACAGCAGAGCAAAGAGGGTAAGGTGAGGTCTGTCCCCTAGGAAAGTCTCAAATAATTTATCCCTCTTGAATTACTTATTTCTGAAGTGGTGCTGAAATACAAACGTACCTATGACTAAATAGAGAGAAAGAAGTGGAGAACAATTGTTTAAAAATAATAGAAGGAACAATGCTACATGTCAGAAATATCCAAAAGGCTCCATATGAGTGTGAAAAACTTCACTTTCTTTATGAGTGCCACCAATTGTGTGACATTGATGGGAGGAGGAGGAAAAATTCATTTTCCTTTAAAAGAGGGTACCAATGCAAAATTCTTTAGATTATAGCATAAAGAGGAAAGTATTGTATATTTTTCATCTAAAATTGGTATTGCTGATTAAATGAATACCTAATAATAGAAGATTGTCTCTTCTTTAAGGGATCATCATGTATAGCCAGCCTTATCCAGGCGTGCAAGACCAGGAGCAAGCCACGTAAGCAGTTATCTCTGGCATGACTACTTTCTTCTTGGCATAGCTAAGTTTCTGTATAAATCGCTGTAACTGGAAATCACAGTTGAATCTGAATGAATGGCAGTCTAGAAGGGCTGGTAACATAAGTCACTGACTGGGATACAAGGAAGTTTCTAAAACAGTGCAGAGTGGGTTGCCAAGTAGAGGTTGTTGACTGTGGATTCACCAAGTCTGCTGCTGTTTTGAGTTAAATGCATAAGTGCTTCATTTCAACCTTCCTGCAAGGCATTTAAGTACTGTTTCTATGCTCCAGATCTATATAACGCTTGCATACACCCTGTAACCCTTGGAGACCAAGGTTTACTATCAAATATTCTTGGTCAATTCAGATGCACTAGAGCTACATTTATTCCAGGGTCACAGCGGAGTCATGGTAAAAATATTATCAGGCTACCGTGTAGAAAGCCTTATTTGTGTCACAGTCAACACTAATACTGTTTTGTTGATGGCTTTAGTCATGAATCTTCCTAAAAAGAAGAGTTCCAAAAGCTTATGTGTGCTTTCCTCTCCCTATTGCTCACTACAGAATCAGCAGTTTAATCGATATTTTAGTGGCACTGTCCATCCTGATGGGCTATTCTGTCACCACCGCCAGCTTTGTCACCTATGTTGTAAGGGAACATCAGACCAAAGCCAAGCAGTTGCAACACATTTCAGGCATTGGTGTGACATGCTATTGGGTAACAAACTTCATTTATGACATGGTGAGTAATTTTTGTCATAGCAAGAAAAACAGAATCTACTTGAATAGAAAACATCAGTTTTTATTCAAGAGGTTTTTTATTCTAGTTGTTTAGATTATTATCACAGGGACAGTAAATTAAGGAAAAGTAATTTGAGTTGGGTTTATATTAATTTGGTGGCTGGAGGAAAAAGAAACTGCCTGCTGGGCTGGGGATTTAGATCAGTGGCACTGTGCCTGCCTTGCAAGCTCAAGGTCCTGAGTTCTCCGGTACAAGAAAAAAGAAAGTGCCTATTATCTTTGGGACATAGCAGATTCCCAGGGCACTTGTTAATGCAGATTACTAGGCCCCATCCAGTGCTATTAAAACCATATCTGGGGAGCAGAGCATGGAGACTATGTGTGTTAAACAAGAAGCCCAGGTGATGTTAAGCACATGGAAGTTTGAGAACCACTACTGTGGAGAAATTGAAGTTTACCAGCAGAACAGCTTTCCCTAATAGTGCCAAATAATCAAGCTTATAAAAGTTTAATCAGCTAATAGTGAAAATTTCAAAGTAGCAGTTTCTGTTGAATGACACATTAGAGTGGATTTTAGCAGGGGAGAAAGGGAATGTACTTCATGGATACCTCTCTCATTTGTGTAAAATGCTCCCAAAGTTCAGATAGTTATTCTTGACTTCAAACATGCCAGTATTGGCCACAAGCCCAGGATAAGTGTGCGTTTGCCTGTGATTATGGTGAAATTGTCTGAGTTGTTGTCAAGATCATTGGTTTGAAGAGATGGAAAGTAATTAACTCCATATCCAATTTGTTAATGCATCAAATGAGGTCTGAAATGCATTTGCTATAGAAGCCAAATCTGAAAGAATAGTAATGACTCCTCTGGACTTAATAGGGGCTTTAATGTTAAGAAATCTTCAAGTACATGCTGCTTTGAAGGTCTACTTACTGCTGAGATATGTTGTCATATCTGGTGCTCATTCCAATTTAGGAGACACTTCCCCAACCCCCATGTGCATGTGCACACTCAAATTAAATTATCATTACCTTCATTGTATGCTTCTTACTGCAAATGCCTCAGCACTTAATATTTTTACTTGTCAGCAAAGCTATTTGTTCATATACCTCTGATTCCAAGAATGTGTGGGACCTGCTGTCCTATTGCATTGCACAGAGTGGCTCACACTGATAACCAAGCTTTAGAAATCAACGGTCTGAGAGAGCTGCAGCATTCAAAATAAATCAATACTTTGAGAACTGACTCTAATATCAAGATACCTGGCTGTCTTATCTTTCTCACTGAACCTCTGTTGCTGAATGATCCCAAGTCTTAGAGCCTAGAGGCAAGAACACCAGGGACATCTTGTGTATCTATAGAGATGGAAACTGGCTTAACCTCATATTGAGTCAAGTTCTAAAGTAAAATCAGTGTAAAATAAGCTGGACATTAAAAGCAATGAAAACATAGATAAAAACTCGTTCTTGCAAATTTTTCTAGGTCAACTTCTTGTAGTTTTAAACTAGATGGGTTATTGATTTGAAAAACACTTGTTATATATTAAACATGTTTTACACATTCCCATAGGTCTTCTACTTAGTCCCTGTAGCATTTTCAATTGGTGTCATTGCAATATTCAAGTTACCTGCCTTCTACAGTGAAAGCAACCTGGGTGCTGTATCTCTCCTTCTTCTGCTGTTTGGGTAAGCTGCCAATTAAGCAATGAAAAAAGAATTAACAAAATTAAATGCTCCTAGACCCAAATAGGACCTAAAATTCGTTAGCTAATTTACAGTTGTCTTGCAGTTTCATTTGACATGAATGTGACTAACAATACATTATACTTTCTAGTCCGTAGTCTGTACATTGTAATACTTCTGAAAATTAATGTCATTATCATTAATGAGCACTTACTGGGTGCCAAGTGTTATGCTTAATAATTTACATATGCCATCTAATTTACATCAAAATTAAGGTTTTAATATGACAAGAAAAAATGTGTATACATATGTGAATAAGTATTGACAAGTTATATAAATATATGTAGCATTATAAAGTGTACATAAGTTCAAGTATACTTTTTATTGATTTTTTATAAAAATCTAAGGACACACATAATATTGTTTTTGTATTAGGTTCACACAGTAATACATAATCAACGCTAGATGTAATAACACTTTCTACACTGAATGCATGGATAGTTAGCAATTGTGGCCGATGCAGGAGCTCTCTTTCTCTAGCTCTACTGAATTTTCCCCAGTCACTGCAGTCTTTGCTCAAAACAGGCTATCTAGCATCTCACCAGTCTATGTGTGCTCAGTTAGCCTACACCAATGTCATTATTTTTCCTCAACTTTAAATTATAAGATTTTAACAGATTGAACTCATATTTCTGAGCAACAAAAGTCTTGCCTGAACAGGATAGCACCAACCCCAGGGGGGATTAATTTGTAGTTGTAATAATGTTGGATGACTCATGGGTCCTTAACAGAGAAGCTTCTTACTGTCATTTTAAAATGTCCTTTGGGTTTCTTTGTCAAAAAGAGGAATGAGAGTGAAATCTAGCTACAAGGCTTGGCAACTCATCGCTAATATTTACTTTTACTTTGTAAACTCACCTAAGCTTTTGTTTTATAACTGTGTAAAGTAGAAATATTAAAAAGTAATTTAATTTTAGTATTATTAACCTACAGATATGCAACATTTTCTTGGATGTACTTGCTGGCTGGTTTCTTCCATGAAACAGGGATGGCCTTCATCACTTATGTCTGTGTCAACCTGTTTTTTGGCATCAATTCTATTGTTTCCCTGTCCGTGGTTTACTTTCTTTCCAAGGAAAAGCCTAATGATCCGGTAAGATCCTTATTAGTCTGTTAAATATCAGTGAGTGTATCAGAAGTTTTAATGTGTTCAAGGAGGAAAAGGTTTCTTTATTCATTCTTTAAATAGAAAAGAATATCATTTGGCTCTTACATTAAATTTAAAAGAGAAGAAACTACAGCTTTAAAATAGTCTTCTAAAGCTCTGTGTAAGTTAATGCCTTTTATTGTATTTATCAAGTATCAAAACAATTGACATTTGATAAATCTCAAGTGAAGTGATGGAGGTGAAGTCAGATATAATGTATGGTGCGACATAAATCATATTACCAATTCTTTGGCTAAACATTTTACTCATTAACAAATTCCTGTGGTATGGTAGTAACAAGGAAAATGGCTTAGTTATATAACTATGGGTTGAGATTCATTTGAACATTCAGAGAGAAAACTTAATTCATTCCCTTTCAATCATGTATTGGAATCTACTTCATTGTAAGCATCACTTTCCATTCAGAGCGGACAATTATGATTAGTGAGAAGAGAAGCACTAACAGTGCCAGGCAATTGAACAGCAAAGAATAGAGAGGAAATGAAGTGAACTGAGGAACAGGCAAGCACACTCCAGGAGGAGAAAGAAAATTCATGAGGTGGAAGTAGTTGGCCTCAAGTGTGAATAACGTGAAAATGAGCCATTTGCTCCTCTTTGAGATATGTTGTCTCTCCTTCCCTTTCATTTCACCATTTTAGTCTCTCTCCAAGTAGAAATTACCTTAGGTTCTGAAACTTTGCTGAATTAAGTTTTCTCAAACTCAGGCACATATCAATACCCTGTACCAGACCCCAACACCCTAGCTGGCCCTACATTTCAAAAGTTTAAGGCTGATCTAGAAGTTATTTTGTCTCCTGGACCTCAGGTCACCTCAAGAAAGTCTTTTTCTATTTTTATTTTAATGACAAACCTCCACCATTTGGTTATAGTAAATATCTGTATATAAATTCAGCACACATGAAATCATTGCCAATCTAGATACGCTTCTCACTATTTATCTACATCTAGTGTTAAGTTTTCATCAATTTGTTGCAAGCCTGACACTAAACTTCATTGTTATTTCTCTTGTTTCAGACTTTGGAACTTATTTCTGAGACCCTCAAGCAAATTTTCCTGATTTTCCCACAATTCTGTTTCGGCTATGGTTTGATTGAACTTTCTCAACAACAATCAGTTCTGGACTTCTTAAAAGCATATGGAGTGGAATACCCACATGAAACCTTTGAAATGGATAAACTAGGGGCAATGTTTGTGGCTTTGGTTTCTCAGGGAACCATGTTTTTTTTGTTGCGACTCTTAATCAATGAGTGGCTAATAAAAAAACTCAGGTAAACATAACAAAAACAGTGCTTGGTGCCCATAATAGAACTCAATTCTAAATATTCAGGAAAGAATCAAGAGTCTTAGGTTCCATTAATAATATGAAAGTGTTTTGCTCAAGAAGCTTTAAAAATTTTAACATAATTTGTCATTCATTTCATTCTAGTATATAGTTATATAACCTTACTATGTGTCTGCAAGTACTGCTGTAAGAAAGAAAGTCAACCAAGTACAGTAGTTAGCATTAAAGAGATTAAGATTCAGTGGTAGAGAGAAAATGTGTATGTAAACAAAAGAGTTGAATATGGAAGGATAGAAAACACTTTCACAGGCAGAAATGAGAAAGAGGGTTTAATGTGTATGTAATATGTTGGTCTTAAGTTTGGGAAAAGGAGATTGAGATGAACTAAGGGTAGCATTATAAATGAAAAGAAATACACCATGGGCCTAGGAATTGTGTTTCTAGGAATTTTTCCCTCCTGGCATGCTCACATAGATGCAGAATTATGTAGGTATAAAATTATTCATCATAGTAACCATCTCTTATGAACCCAATTCATTCATGAGGGCTGGTTGTAACTCAAGTTGGACAATTGAAGGCTCAGGCTCTTCTAGACAGCCTTCAAAGTCTCTCTTCTGTATACAGGTAAATATCAGTGTCCTTAGAGAGACATTGGACCAGGATTTCTCAATTTACCCCATACAAGAGAGAATGTTGTAATATATTTTCCAGAACTCTTTAAGGGTTAAACCAGTCTGAATCTGAGACCATCTGGTAAGCACAAATGGCCAGCATTTGGATTTTAACTCAAGACTTTGTTCATAGCTTAAAACTAAAATTCCGGTCATAATCCAAGTTGTTCATGTGTCAAGCTGGTCATAACTCAAGGGTCCACTAAATATGTATACACTCATAAACACATGATGCACCCATTAGAAAGGATAATACAGCTCTATATTCAATTTTTGAGATTATTTCTAATATTTATTAAGTAAAATAAAAGTGAGATACAGGACCAGGTGTAAAGCACATTACCATTTGAGTTAGAAAGAAAAGGAATTTGTATGATTTGTGCATACAAATCCATACAGTATCCTAGTGGTGCCTCCACTGAAGAGAACTATGCATGGTTGAAGACGACTTTTCACTATATATTCTTCAGTACCATTTGAACTTTAATATCACGTACATGTATTACCTACTGAAATAAAATTTTAATTAAATTATAATAATAAAAGGAAAGCCAAGAGCAGAGATACAGAAAAAATATTACAGCATATTTTAAAAAGGAATAATACAAGTTGATTAGAACATAGAATAAATGTAATGAAATACTAGGAGATAAAAAGTAGGGAGATTATGGAATCTCTTGAATGCTTTGTAAGGAGAATGCAGTTTGGACTTTATTCAGCAAACAAAGGTTTCTGAAAAGATAGCATCATGATCAAATGGTGCTTTAGGACTGTGATTTTGTAGAGGTAGTACAGATTGAAATGGAAGAGACAGTGGAGCAGTTTCAGGCTCCTGGAGAAAGCTAGGTGAGAAGTGAAAGTTTGTAATGGGGATGGAAACAGACAGAAAATGATCCGTACCAGGGAATTACAAGGCATTGCCAGTGTTTGGGACTGACTGTACCAGTGGACTTTGGAGTAGGGAAGTTTCAAAGAAAACAGCAGAGTTGGTATCTCTGGACTAACATTTTTAAAAAACCAGAAACATTAGAAAGAACTGGATTGATTTGTTGGATTTTATTTTGTTTTGGTATTTTTTAGGAAGATACTGAGGTGGGTTTGGGACTTAGTGAGTTTGCAGAGCTTATAGTCCTAAAACATTCTCTCGAGCTTAGATGAGACACAGTAAAAAGGGTACAGAGTAATATTCATATTATAGATTATTTAAAAATAGAGATCTACCATACGGCATTGTGCCTATAGTCAACAATAGCATGCTGTGCACTTAAAAAAAATTTTAGGGGGTAGAGGTCTCATAAATGTTACTACAGCTTTAAAAAGAATGAAGAAATAGGCCAGATTTTTTAAAAAAGATAATCTTTGATGTTATGCTTGTAGGTTTTCAGTTTTACTGAACTTCTGTGGAGTTTAGCCTTGCTCTGAATTCTTTATTAAGAACTGACTTTCAAACACAGACTCATCTCATTACTGACATTAGGATTTTATATTTTAACAGTGGATTTGTAAACACTTAAGGCATAACAAAAGCTACTTTTCAAATATCATATTGAATATGGTGAAGAGAGTCCATACTGATTTTTTAAGTTATTTGAGCGCATAATACCTAACATTTAAAAGAAGTTTAATACTAGCACAGGTTCTATAAAGTGAAAAGACATCAAAACATCTAAATGGAGGAGTGTCATTTCAAAATCATCAACATAGTATCATTGGGGCTGTTTTTTTAGGCTCTTCATCAGAAAATTTAGTTCTTCGTCTGTAATGGAGATAACAGATGAGGATGAGGATGTGCGGGCTGAGAGACTAAGAGTCGAGAGTGGTGCAGCTGAGCTTGATCTGGTCCAACTCCATCGTCTCACAAAGACCTACCAACTTATCCACAAGAAGATTATAGCTGTAAACAACATCAGCATCGGGATACCTGCAGGAGAAGTGAGGAACTGTAATTCATTTCTATCCTTTTTATTGGCAAATAAAAATTAATTATTTTTCTTCAGTATTTTTCTAGAAATACAAAAGTCAAACAATATTTCTATGGGTCATGTATGTATACATACATAAACACATCCATCATATAAACATGTATATACATATATAAGGGATGACAAAAATAGGGTCAATTTTATATTTTTTAAGAAATTTGTTATAGTAAAAGATACATTACCATCAATCTCCCTCAAAATACTCCCTCTCCCTTTGAACACACATTCATTTTTTCTTGCCATTTTTTGAAGCTGTTCTCATGAATGCTTCTGTCCAGTGCCATCCAATGGAAAGGCAGCCTCATAAAAACATTATGATGTATCCTTATCCACCTTATTCACTAGATCTGGTATGGTATGACTTCTGGCTCTTCCCAAGTCAAAATGTCCAGGAAAGATAAACATTTTGAATAGATTCAGGACATTGAGGCCGCCCTATAGCACAACGAAAGATACAAAAAAAGGACTTCCAGAACTACTTTAGAAAGTGGCAAAAGCAATAGGATAAGTGTGTTTGGAACAAGCGGAAGTTTTGAGGGAGTTTAATGGCAATGTGTCTTTACTGTAATATATATGTTTACATATACATACATACTGTATTTTTCAATCATACTTCATCCATATATATCAATTACAACTTCCATGTGAGCTTCTGTTACTCACCCTGTGAGACTAGGCAGGCAGAAGGCACCAATTCCCATCACAGAGCAAGTCCTGAGCCCTTTCCCAAACTGCTGTCCTCTCTGGAGTGGGATGTGGTCAGAAAGCCTGTTCGGTGCTCTATTCAACTTTTCATTCCAAAGCTCCTTCAAAAGACACCATAAAGAAAACAGAAGTTGTCAGAAATGAGGTCCTAAAACTGCATCCATTTATATTCTTATCATTTTCACAGGCATAGTATTAAGGCAGATTTGAAAGAAGAAAAAGAATATGACTATTTCCTTAGTTTTCCAAGCAGTCTCAAATTTCATGCATCAAATTTATTCACTAGCATAAAGAAATTATTGCTTCAGTAGCTTATTCAGTAAAGTTGTGATGTGTGAATATTTTGAAATCTATAAATGTAATTACTTCTTCAAGTTAGCATATCTTGTGGGATATTATATCATGTCATATAAAGAGGTGTTATAATGTGTAAAACAGGTACCCAGTATATATATTTCCAAATGTTCAGGTGGTTAAAGAGAAAAAAGTCACATAAAGTGCTAATTTGCTTTAAAAGAGAAAGTTTGACCAAATGCCAAGAGAGCATTTCCTTGAATAATCCCAGTGATTTATTTTTCTTGGAAATGTATTTCACCCAGGCAGAAGGAAAGAGATACAATAGCAACATGTCTCTAAGATTTACATCTTTTGTTCTCTCCCCTTAAACTAGTGCTTTGGCCTTCTTGGGGTGAATGGAGCAGGCAAGACCACTATATTCAAGATGCTTACTGGAGACATTGTTCCTTCAAATGGAAACATTCTGATCAGAAATAAGACAGGGTATGGAAAACTTATGCTTCCACCTTACAAAGTAAAATGCAATTAAAATAATTTAAATGAACATCTTAGGTATTTATGTATTATTAAATCTTCAAGGGGAAAAAAGCTATCAAAGTGGGTGGGGATTTTTAAACCTCTTCATGTGACTCTGATAGTGAGATTATTGTATCCTTTTTCATCAAAATCACCAACTATCATGAGCAAAATAGAGCCACCGTCCTGATATTTGGAGACCAGAAGAGTCGTACTTTTGAAACTCATGTGTTTTTTATCTTCTCATTCAGATCTCTGGGTCATGTTGACTCTCACAGCTCATTAGTTGGTTACTGCCCTCAGGAAGATGCCTTAGATGATCTAGTAACTGTGGAAGAACATTTGTATTTCTACGCCAGAGTCCATGGAATTCCAGAAAAAGATATCAAAGAAGTGAGTACATATGTGAAAAACTAGTTAATTTGATGACCATTATTATTTTTGTTTTCCTCCCACCACACCTGTCACAAAACCAACTTGACACCTGAAAAGCCATGACATTTTCTTCCTAACAATGAGAATGAGGCCAACTTAGCTTGACTGTGTGTTCTCTACACACACCTGTGGACTCACCTTCAAAACTCCTTGACCGAGTTTGTTCAGTTGCTCAGTTAAGAACTGTTAAACAGAGGATCATTAGGCTCTGTGCTGAGCACGGGTTGGTGATGCTTCTACATCCTTTGGTGTTCAAATAAGTATTAACTCAGAGAATTAACTAAAAAATGCCCAAGTAAAATAGAATACCTTCTATTTTTATTTTATTTTATATTGCTTGAGATTGTTCCTAAAGGCCACATGCACTCTAAGCACATGTTCTACCACTTAGCTACAACCTCAGACCTCCATTTTGACTTTTAATCTGTGACTTTGTGTGTCATTGCAACGATTTGGCTTTGTAATGGAATGACTAACCCTTAGGGCAGTTTCTTCTGTTTTTTGCAACCCTGGGGACCTGCTGCATAAGTCCAACTAGGAATTCATTATTTGCCAGGGCTATTTAACTACAGAAATAACTACAAGAACCCATGACTCCGAATGCATTGAAGTTTTGATAGTGGGTCATTTTTAAATAGACTTAAAGCCTTTATGACAACTCACCCCTCAGTCAGAAGAAAGGTGAAGCAGTGATGATGATCAATGAGAAACCTGCCTTTGAATTCTGTTTTAGTTATTTGAAGCTTTTAAGCTTTATAGGAGAATCCTGTGGTAATACAGCACAAAGTACAATCTGAAATAGTAAACACACACACACATTTAGAAGGAAAAATCTCATTTGAAATAAGCCTCTGAGGAATTGCTTTTATCTCTTTAAATGAACTATTAATTTTTAAATAGCCCTTTAAAATGAAAATAAAATCTATGTTGAATTTAAATGTTTTAATTTTTTTCTTGGCCTCTATTCTCCCTGATAAAATTTTCTTTTCCCAAGCAGATTTTCTTCCATTTGGTGCTTTAAGAGTTTTGGCAGGGGAAGGTCAGCCTAATTTCTCTTTTATTATCCACAGACTGTTCATAAACTCCTTAGGAGACTTCACTTGATGCCCTACAAGGACAGATCCACCTCTATGTGCAGTTATGGAACAAAAAGAAAATTATCCACTGCTCTGGCCTTAATAGGGAAACCTTCCATTCTACTACTGGTAAGAGAGGCATTATGAAAAAGACTACTACATAATTAGAACAGCACATCCAAGTGTGTGTTAACATCTCATCCTCATTGTCACAGTCAGAGTTTAATGAGGCCTCACTGTGTGCCAGTTATTTGACAGGAAACTTATGCTATCACACAAAGGAATTTATATCAGCAAATGATGAGTTGCCACAATAATATGTTTTCAAAAAATGTTTTTCTCTGAAACACTGGCTCAGAAGGAGTCAGAGAAAGCACTCAGTATGGGAATGGGAAGTAGCTGTAACAAATTCAGGATATTTGAACAACTAAGTAAAGTTATAGAACATGGTAGAATTTAATTCCCATTTATTGATGAAATCACATATCTTTCTATTAGATACTAATCAGGTGGACAAACATGTTCTATTTTTTACTGAGGAAGAAGGGCGCATTTTAGGAAAATATACTGTGCTAAAATTTTATTTCTTTGTAACTATGGTAAAAATATGAGTTATCTAGATTAAGATATGGTGGGTGATATACTATGCTATTTTATCTGAATTCCAGGGGTGACAGAAAGAAAAATATTCCACATTTTTATTTTGGCTAATACTGAAAAATTAAATTGATCACCTGGAAACATAAATTATGCACAGTGGTGATACAGTATTCTGTTCTCTAGGCCTGGTTTGTTCAGAGGAACAAACTCTTCTTTATTTTGGAAGATCCCCTTGATTCGAGGACCTCCAAATTCTAAATGCATCTTAACTATATGCAATAAAAATCCAGTTATAAATAGCTGCTTTATTCCAAGGATTAAGTCATAGAGTGGATCAAATTATTTAAACTGCTTAGATAGAATGATGCACAGCCCATCTTTGTATAATGCCATCAGCTTCTAATGCATTACATCCCTGCCAATCGAGGCTTATAATGGAATTCTATTGTGTAAGTCCCTTCAATTGAACAAAACAATCCTTAGGCACCCCTGTGAGATAATATATGTAAAACATTTTAAAATGGTAAGAGTGCTACGTAAATGTTATATAGTAATGAGCTGAACTGAAATACAGGCTATGAAAGGTACCATGTTTTTCTTCTGGATTTGTTTACCATATAGGCTATTTTTCCAAAAATAGATGCAGTGACAGTATGACCTTTACTGTTTTCCTAAAGTAACATTCATTTATTTCTTCAAATTTAACACCTACTATAAAAATAAGCCTGACTATCCTATGTACATACTTTTCTCTTCCAGAGACAGTTTTAAATTTTTACCTAATTTTGGCCTATAATTTATTTTTTACAATTGTGTGAGGATCTATTATTGCTTGTTTAGATCATCTGTTGTTACATGTAAAAAATTTTATTTCTGAACAATTTTTCAAAGCACTATTTACTTTGGACAAATTATATATATATATGTTTACATGGCTATTTCTGCAAATCTTATATTTATTTTCCCAAGGAGTGTTAAATTTCAATTACTAACATAAAACTAAAAATACACCTCAAACATATTAACTAAAATATCAAATCGTGGTTTTTTTTCTGCTTCAAAAAGCATATTATTACTCACAGTCACACTTCTGCTTTCATGAGCATGATGGCAATCATGTTGATGTAGCTTCCAATACGTATGTGACAATGTAGAATTAAATATAAAAACTCTGCATTGTCAGTAATTGAAGCAAACTTTTCTTCCAAAGAAACATAAGAAATGGATGTAAAGTAACAGGGTGTCAATTTCACCCAGACACTTTTTTAAACAGATTGACAGTTTTAAATACTTAATTTTGAGCTTTTTGATAGCAGCAGAAAAAGGCCTATTAGGTATAAAACAAGATAGTCACAGAACTTCAAAAAGTGATATCTGTTCTAGGGAATCAAGACTCAGTGATTCGTGTAAAGAACCTCGTCAAATATTAATTAATTTGATAAATTTTTCTTGTAACTCTCTATTAAGGATGAGCCGAGCTCTGGGATGGATCCTAAGTCAAAACGGCACCTCTGGAAGATCATTTCAGAGGAAGTACAGAACAAGTGTTCCGTCATCCTCACATCTCACAGGTGAGTGGAGTAAGGGACCTTTAAAGTCAAGGGACACAATCTTAGAATATTAGATAAGAAAAGGTAATCCTGTGCATTATATAGGGGTAATGAATATCTTCAATTGTATAGAAGTGTTTTATGCTTGTAGTAGGAGGGGCAAGTCAAATGAGTAGGTTTATATGGTGTTAGGACAGAGTGTGAGCTATAAGAAGTCTCTTTAAAAATAGATTTGGCACAGTTCACGGCCCTCTTAACTCACCTGTGGCTCCCTATTGCCTATCAAATGAAATTCAGAATTATCAGCCTTGCCATGGGAGGCCCCCTATTATCTGACCTCATTTAAACTTTCAGTCATTTTTTTCCTACCACACCCTCTGCCACCAGTCTGAATTGCTCATGGTTCTCGAAGCACACACTGCCTCTTCCTATTTCCAAATCCTTTCTTCAGCTATGCTTTCTGCTTGAAATAATCTCTTCATGTAATCTCTCCAAGTTCTAATCTGACCAGTCCTTCCAGACCCAGTTCATATCCCTCCCCTCCATGAAGTATTCCCTCCCTTGAGTAAAGTATCAGTGATATTACAGCCTCTCTTATGATGTTGCCATGGCATTATAATGTGGATTAAATTCTCCTTGCATTAAAATGATTGTATAGTAGAAAAGGTATTAGATTTATTTCTTATTCAAGGGCTGGTTTACATTCTTCCTCTGTCCCCAGCACACTGGAGCCAAGCCTTTCATTCCCATGAACATTTGTGTGAAATGAACAAGGTGATACCTAGGGCTGCCTCTGGTTATGAAATGAGAGAGCATGTAATCAGGTCCAGATTAACTAGTTGTACATCCAAAAATATAAAAGCCAACTAGAGTAAGAAGCATAATGAAAAAAGATTGGGGTTATTTTGGAAACATTTCTTAGGAAATATAGGTCTTGAATCAAACCTTAAAAGAGCTTGAAAGAAATATTGGGTTTGATAGGAGGGCCTTCCAGGTGAGAGAGATGGCCTTGAGTTTTAGAAGAAACATTAAAAACCCTACCTGAAGACATTTAATTTGTATTTTAAGAGTTTTTTTGTTCTCCTTACAAGACAGAGTTCTCAGGTGTAATAATGAAGTAATTAAGCTTATGCTTATGAACTTCAGTCCAATTCTCTGTGCTCTGAATGTTGATGTGACTTTACTTCATCTTTCAGCATGGAAGAATGTGAAGCTCTTTGTACCAGGCTGGCCATTATGGTGAATGGAAGATTCCAGTGCATTGGATCTTTGCAGCACATAAAGAGCAGGTAAAGAACAAATGTATTGTTTAGCATAGGTATGGAGTAATCAATCTAATGGTGCTGTCTCCAGTTTGAAGGATTATCTCAGCAGCCTATCTTGCAATGAGAAGTACAACAGGAATAGAGGACCTAGTCTTTAGAAGTAATCACTGACTCACCTTAGATTAAAGTATTTGGAGAGTTTATTGTATTTTTAGTTAATACCTCCAAATCTTAGAAGGTCTAAAGCTAATGATAATAATAATAATGATAATAATTCCACAACCAAAGCTAATAATAATAATGATAATAGTAATAAATCCACAATCGTAACATTCTCAGAGCAATTTCAGGAGTTTATACAGTAATAAAGTAGACATTAACAAATACATGTAAGCATATATTTTTATCTAGCATGTTTATTGCCATTTGCACAAGCATTCAGTAAGCTGTTTAACATTTTTACCATATTGAAAACTTTTTCATCAAGAATACACCAGGGAAATGTGCATAAATATCATATTACCATTAAATTAATAATTTATTGTCAACAGAATGTACATGGATTTATATATATCCATAGTAATCTCCAAATTTCAGAATGATATTGTGTACCTTTTTAGACAACAACTTGACTCTCTTATCACATAGTACTAATCAAGACAAGGAAGGGCTGGGGACTTTAGCTCAGTGGTTCTGCCACCTGCCTTGTGGGGACAAGGTCCTGAGTTCAATCCCCGGTACCAAAAAAAAAAAGACAAGGAAAAGAAGTAACAGAGGCCTTATGTTGTTCTCAAGGGTTGGTTGTGACTTGTTTATGAACTCCATTCTCTGTGCAGTTAGGTCTAGGATGTTGATTTCATATTTCTTTTTTAAATCCCAATTATGTTAATATTGACCGTTGTTACCAAATTCATTATAACTTGTCTCAAGACCTTGCTTACTTTAAATTAGAATATATTTAACCCCAGAAAATGACATCCATTGCCAATTCATAGATATCAAAGAAAGGCATTGTTTATGTTTTCTTTCCAATATTGCTTTTGCTCAAAAAATCTAACTTATTGCACAGATAGGAAATAAATTTAAAAAGTCATAGCAGTGAACAGTTGCCAGTTTGAAACATATCTTCAGCCCATGGCAAAATGACAGTCTTTATTTAAGATAAGGGGCCATTATGGTGAGCTTTGGCTTTGTTTCATTATCTAGAACTCCAGGGGAACGATTTTGGCAAAATATAACTTGTATTGTGTTATGCACTTTTCTTTCTAGGTTTGGACGTGGGTTTACTGTGAAGGTTCATTTAAAGAATAGCAAAGTGAGCATGGAGACTCTCACAAGGTTCATGCAACTGCACTTTCCAAAAACATATTTAAAAGTAAGTGATCGCCCAGCCTTTTGATCTTGATGAGCTTTGGTAGGCACAGTATAATATTGTAGTGGATATTTGCCACTTCCAAGTTCATCATAGCTTTGTTATTAATCATAGTATATTATAGTTCAAGATATATAAGACACTCTGAACCACAATTTTTGTGAACAAATAACATTTTCAAATTCTGTTATAGCTATTAGAGTTAACATAACCTTTCATATATGTTTATTTATCTCTTCCTCACAAAGTCTTTATAGTCACACTTTATTTTCTTTTTAGTGGTATATTTTGCCAGTTTACTACTTAGATACATGAAGGAATTGAGAAATTACAGTTATTACATTACTAAGGGCATTTCTCCATGGGGGAAAAATTAGGGAATCTAGAATGTTATAGCTGGAGGAGGTTATCTCTTTTGTTCCCCTCATTTAAAAAGTAAGCCCACAATAAGTCTTCAAGTCTCAAAAGAGATGAAATATCATAGTATTAATTTATTCTTAACTATATACTACATAGTCACAGGATAGACACACAGGGACATAAGCATGGCTGTCTCACATAGTATGTACTTAAACTACTTGACAGAAAAATGTTTATTGCAATATCTTTGATAGACAATTTGCACAAGTTGGTGAAATGGTGAATAATTGTTGTTAAAAGGAAATCAGATGTGGAATAATGAAAAGAACTTGTAAAACTTTAGACTGAACCCAGCCATGTAGGGTGATATTGAACAAGCCATTTAAAGTCTCTGAAACTCAGTTTTTTCACTTTTAAAATAGGGTTAGACATCTATTTCATAAAAATGGTGTGAGAGTTAAATGGCAGAGTCCATAAAAATACCTTATCAACTATAAGGCACAATAGTAATGTAAATGATTTTAACAAGTGATTTTAGAAAACAAAACAATGCATTTTTATTTTTTATTTTTTTGTTTTGTTTTGTTTGGTACAGGGGATCAAACTCAGGTCCTTCTGCTTGGGAGGCAGGCAGCGGAACCACTGAGCTAAATCCCTGGCCCCAACAATGCATTTTTTTTAAAATTCCTTAATATTTATAAAATACTTTAGTCTCAGCCTCCTCGAGCCTTGGTGAACATCTCTAGGAAACAATAGCTTTCATGATTCTTATCAAGGCCCATTTTCTATCATCTAAATTTAAATCAAATTTAAAATTTAAAGGGTATCTTTCTTGTACAAATTATGTTGGTCATATGCTTTTTCTTTTAGTGGATTTCTGAGATGAAGTCTTTATTTGCTGAGTGAAGAAATTACATTTATCCTGGTCTCTTCTTCATGGGACCAGGACTATCTAAGGCAAACAAAGTGATGATAAAAGTTGGATTTCACCCTAAGCAGACCATCTTTCACCCTCCTGCAATGGTTTCTAGATCTCTAGAAAGAAAATACCAGTACAACAGTTTGATAGTAAAAATAAGCAAACTGGCCAGATTGCAGAGATAAGCATAATGCAAGTAGTCTGGGAAAAGGAGTAAAGAGGAAAAAGAAGTCTTGAATATCAGGCCAAAATATATCATCTTGATTTGATCCATAGACATTGCAAGGGTAGATTCTCAAGTAAGAAAGCATCCTGTTCAAACTAGTGCTCAGAAAATATTACTCTGATGTCTTTGTGCCAGAATAAATTGGTGTGTCTAGTTTCTAGGATCCCAAAGTGGCTGCTGCACTAACTCAGATGTGATGAGCATCAAGTTAATATCAGTGGTGCAAGTAGAGAGAAAAGGAAATAGCTATCTTAATAAACAGAAAAACAGATATGGTAACTGTTTAAATATTCAGAAAATTATGATGTTAAAGATACCCCAAGGCAATAAGAATATATTACTAAGTAGATGGTGATACTATTAACTAAAATTTCAAAAATTTAAAAATATTTTTAAAGTGAGCTGAAAAAGGATATAACATCATTTGAATGAGGTTTTTCCTAGACAACATTTTTTAAACGTATCATTTTCCAATATAAATTGAACAGCAAATTACTAGTGTTTTGGAACAATTCTAACATAAAAATAAAATTACTACAATTGATCTCTGAAGGAGGGGGAAGTAAAAAGAATTAAGATGTCTTATGTTACATGTACCAACTACCCATGATGAATGTAATCATTATATACTGCAAACATGCACTTATAAAGATACAAATTTATAAAATAAAATAAAATTGATCTCTCAGAAGCTTATGTGAGCTGAGCCTCAATTCACATGTGAAATATCACTCCACAAAAATTTTTCCAGGCAAGATTATGACTATATAATGCACAAGAATGCAGAATGTTTTGAAAATTTTATTAACTTTTTAATTTGTTTTTTCTTTGACTTTCATAAAATTTTGCATCTCATCTTTATAAGCTGCTTCTAAGCATACCCATCATTTACACTGTAGTATCATTTTCAGGGGAATAAATTTCAGTATTGTTCTTAGTGCTAAGTTATGTCTAATCAAATCAATATTACCTATCTTTGTAAAATAAATTTTTCTTTTGGTTCCCACAGGATCAACACCTTAGCATGCTAGAGTACCATGTACCAGTCACTGCAGGAGGAGTAGCAAACATTTTTGATCTACTAGAAACCAACAAGGCTGCTTTAAATATCACAAATTTCCTAGTGAGTCAGACTACTCTGGAAGAGGTAAGATGTATACCATTATCCATGTGCATAATATCACATAAAAATTATCATGCATCTTGGTTATTTCCTTCTAATGACATTCAATTTATTTTTAATTGAAGCAATATCTAATCTTACACCTGAAAAACTTAACAAAGAGCCTAATCTATTTCTGACAGTATTTTGGGATATTAAAAAAATATGAAAGGCATGAACTATTTTTAAAAGATTTTTTTCCAGTCTTTAACAGCTGTATTCATAAAGTTATAGGCATGTGTAAAGCAACAAAACACTATTTTCACCCACAAAATAAATAGTTGTTAATGTTTTTCCCTACTTTTTCCTTGGTAGGTTTCATAAAGAATATATCTGTTGATAGGCTTTCTGGGTGAGGGTAGCATAGGAGTGGCAAGAGATCCTGCAGACTTTGAGGTCCCCTAAATTTACAAAGTTGCACAGCAAATGCAGAATTCTTTTCTTTCATTTGTATCTCTTAATTACATTTACATTCAATAACTAAACACTTCATACATCATCCTTCTGTTCCACTGCGCAGTCTTAATTTGATACAGCTAATCCCACATAACATATAGCACAGGTGATTATGTCTGTCATTGGAATGGATCTGAAAGGAAGTCCTGACAGGTCTCTGAGTTGATGATGTGTCATGCTGCATTTTATGGATAACTTTTTATAGGGCTTTGGGCATTTTAATAGGGACCTTAGAAAATTATGCCATTACCCTAAGAGAAGATTTAGTCTCTAAGTGATCAACTTCCAACATCATGCCTGGCAAAAACCAGACCCTTGATAAATAGTTTTGGGATGAATCTGTAACCAATGTATTTAATGATTTTTTAATATATGAAGAGCTCTATCTATTACATAATTGGCTAACTGAACATAATGTGGGATTTCTATACAAATTTTATTTTAGTGAAGTATAAGCATTAGACATGGCTTGGGGTAGGCACTTTAATTATATTTGATAGAGACATTGATATAGATCATATGGATATAGATATGTGGTTATAGATATTCAAGTACAGCTTTAGATTAGATTATGATCATAAATGTCATTAATATAGTTATAGATTCAGGTACTGTTTTCAAACTCCAGTTAAAGCTGACTCCAAAAACTGACTCTAGCTGAAGGCAGATGAATATACGTAGGCATATCTTAACTTTATTTCTTCTTTTGCTATTCTGGCCCTAATGGTTTTATTTCCCTTAACAAATCAGGTTTTCATCAACTTTGCCAAAGATCAAAAGTCCTATGAAAATGCTGACACAAGCAGCCAAGGTTCCACTATAAGTGTGGACTCACAGGATGACCAGATGGAGTCTTAGTAGCCACTGCAAACTCGATTTCAGCAAATGGCCAATGGATGCATTTTGAAGAAGACATCACTTCCTCAAAATCCCTTCATTTTAAAGTATCACACTGTATGGAAAGTTACATTTGTATAGAACTTAAGTGTTATTTTGAACATAAAGTTTTCTCCCTAAGATCAGTGAATGCTGTCACTGCTGAAACAAATTCCTGTATACTCAACACTGTGAGCATGCTAATGTATATGCTGGTGATTCTTAGGCAAAGATGAAAATGCCTCATGATGAATGTCTTAATTTATTACTTTCAATAAAAAGACAGCTTTAAAGGTATGGGTATTAGTAGTTGAAAAGTAAGAATGGAGAGTAAAAGTAAGGTGGGCTGGGATAGGTAGGGTTGGGTGAGGAAGCAGAATAATTTATTTCTCCAAAAGAACATAATGCACATCATTGTAGATACATGACTTTACTGTGATGGGTTAAGTGTTAAGGGCCAGGTGTACAATGGCACTATCTACGAGCAGTGGGCACAATGTCTACAAAGGGAGCATGTGTGTGTCATTTTTAGTACTTGTGAGTATCTGGGGGCATACAGAACCCCAGTAGGTGCTTCTCTGCAAGAATGCAATGAAGAGAGCTGTTTGCCCTGGTGGTAAACAGAACCTACACTTCTTCCTGCCTTGCCTTGCCAACAGTACAATAGTAAGGCACTGGGCAGAGCAAGAAGCTACTTGCTCTTGAGGGGAGAATGGATGTGTCAGCTGGACTGATATAAATGCTGAAGATTGACAGTTCATTTGCTGCTCGTAGGCAACATTTTATAAGCTCTTATAGAAACCCTCACATTCCAAGTTTCTCCTCAGGAAACATTCTTATGGTGGGAAAATGAATATGAAGTTAATTTTCAGCTAATTGTCCAGCTGACCCTGAAACATGTGTATGGGTGCAGGATAGACTTTTTAATAATACCAAATTACATGGCCCTGGAGGAAGTTGCTTTGTGTACCATTTATGTGTGGGTGTGCAAGTGTGTGTGTATGATTGTATGTCTGTCCAAGTTTGCTGGCTTTAGCATGAATGTTTATGTTTTAAAAAACCAATAAACTCAAAGTTTACAAAAGAAAAACCATTCATGACATCATTTCATTTGTTAGGAAAGAGGCAGGAGCCTAAAAATCAGTCATATGGCCCACAAGATCCCGTGTAATTGAGCCTTCGCTTATCTCTTTGCCATCATCCCCATCCATTTCCTCCTGCTCTTTAGGATCTAGCCATGCCATCCTTTTTCAGTTTTTCCAGGGCTCCAAAACTTTCCCATCTGGAGACCTTTGTGTATGCTGCTCCCCTACTAGGAATGCTCTTCCTGAATTCTTGGTGCCCAGCTAACAGTTTCCAGAAATGCTACATTTTCTGCAGAAGCTTTATTGTACTACAGTGGAGTCTCGAGTTACAACTGGCCTGACATATGAACAGCTTGGGTTATAATTGAAATTTTTGTTTTAACTTATGACCAAAGTCTTGAGTTTCAACCTGAATGCTGGCTGCTTGTTCTACCTGACGGTTTCAGATACAGATTTAATCCTTAAAGAGTTCTGGAAGAAACGTTACATTCTTTCCTATGTGGGGTTGAGAAATCCTTGGCCAGTGTCTCTAAGAACTTGGAGATCTTCCTGGAAGAAAGTGTGGCCTAAAATTATACAGGAGAGAGATTTTCAGTTCGTAAGTCAAGGGTCCACTGTATTTTCTGTTTATTTATTTTTTTTGCACTTTATTAAATTCTTTTATTGGTACATTGTAGGTATACAACACAATTACATTTCTCATTGGGAA